AAGGTCCCTGGGGGGACCTGGGGGATTGATGGTTCTGGGGGTTGAGCATTCTGAGGACTGGAGGCTAAGGAGATTTGGATGGTCCATCTGCCGACGCGGACCCGATGGCGGTCTCGGCTCCTTCGCTTTCGGCACCCTCCCCACTGCGAAGCAGAGTTCTCCACGTGCTGCACTTTGTGCTTTTGTTCAGTTGCCTGACCGCTCTGGAGATACTTGTGTGCACTCCGATTGTCGGATGGTGGTCAAGAGTTCCAGACACGCCCCCCCTGCGTGCGCTGTCATTGGCGAGCCAGGGGCCTTCAGACGAACATACCTTCGTGGAAGATGCCGAGTGCCCACGGTCTCCCCACGCTGGTGCTGCCGCCGCCGCCTCTTCCGTCTTAGCCTCCCCCTCTTCCTCCCCCTGCTCCTCCGCCTCTGCCTCCTCCTCCTCGTCCTCCATTTCTCCTTCCTCCTCCTCCTGCTCTTCCTCCTCCTCCTCCTCCTCCTCCTCCTGCGCCCCGTGCATTGACCATCCACGCCGACGCCGTTGACTCGACCTCTCATGTGTCGACCTGCATTCTGGGTCTACGGCCCGCCATGAGCTGATCTCTTCGCTGCGGCCTTGCCCCGCGCCCATGGCTACCCGCAGCCTGTGGGTCGAGACTCTTGTGAGGGACGCGCGGGCCGCTGGTATGAAAGTGCGCGTCTCGCACTCTTGGACGATCACCCTCGCATGCGCCTTTAATGTTGGGACCGGGGGAACACTTCCAATCTTACTTACATCCTGCCTCCACCTCTGCTGCCCCGTCATCCCCGGCCACTTCGCTGCCCCCCTGTGTTTTTGTTTTCTCCCAATTCCAACGTTTTGGGAACACCAGGGCTCGGGCGGTCTCCCAGCACACTTCCAGCGGCACCGACCGCTACCCATCACGAGTGTTTGTTCAGGCTTTGGAGCTTTCGGTCCCCATCCCACGCGTCTTTGACCCGGTGCCCTCGCTCCGCACCGTTTCGTGGCTCCTGCTTCCCTGTCGTGCCGTGCTCCAACGCGGCTTCCCCGTCTCCCATGCCCCTTGGTCTCCAAGTTGCCCTTGCGCCTCCTAGCTCCTCCCGACACCCTTGACAGTCCATCAGGGGCACGATGACCTTTAGTTGCTCACCTGGTACCATCTCGGTCCCCCATCCTTGTGGTGATGGCTGCCCGTTCATTATCTCATCCTTCTCGACCCCGTCCCTGATTTCCATTTCCAGTCTGTCTTCTGTCCTCCGATGCCTCATCCTGCTCGACTTTTGGCAACCCCGCGGCCCACTATTCCCCAATCGGAGCTTGCCTCTGTAGGGGTCCTAGCGGATTCATATGGTTAGGTGAGCTTTGCCACTGATTTCCGCGGCCCGCCCGGGTGCCCGGGTGTTTTACAGCCCTGAAGCCCTATAGCTCTACAGCTCTATAGCCCTATAGCCACTGCAATCGGTGCGGTTGCGCCGGGGTGCGGTTTGCGAGTTGCTTTGTGGCGGCCTTTCCGGGACCTTGTGAGAGACAATGTCAGAACTGTCGTCGTTTCGAGCGACATTGTCATCCTCGATGTGTGCCCCACTGTAGTAGAAGGAGCGACACTGACATGTGATTCGGTCGCATTGAGTGTCAATGTCATCCGTTTCCCGGGGAGGCGGGAGGGGCAGATATGACGGGAGGCAAATCGCACCCTTCGCAAACGGCACCCATTGTCGTCGCGGACTATAGCTCTATAGCCCTATAGCCTTATAGCCCTATAATCCCATAGCCCAGTAGCCCTATAGCCCAATAGCCCTATGGCCCTATAGCCCTGTAGCCTTATAGCCCTGTAGCCCTATATCCCTATCGCCCTATAGCCTTATAGCCCTATTGCCCTATAGGCCTATAGCTCCATAGGCTTCTAGCCAAATCGCTTTATAGCTCCATAGCCCTATAGCCCTATAGCCCAATTGCCCAATGGCCCTATAGCCCTATAGCCTTATAGCCTTACAGCCCCATCATCCCATAGCCCTATAGCTTTATATGCGGGTTGACCCCAAAGGGGGTCCAGCGACAAGGGTGTGGTGCAGTATATTTGGTGCAATCCACTTTGACTGTCTTGAAGCTGTCCTCTCCACTGCTCGTGCAAGCATCCCACCCACCCACCCGCAACTTGGTTTGCAAAGCCTGTTCAGACCGACTACGACGACACCGACGACAACGACTAGGACGACACCGACGACGTTTCCGACGACTTCGACGACGACAACGACGCCGACGCCGACGACGACGAAGACGACGACGACGACGCCAACGAAGGCGACGACGAGGGAGGAGGAAGGACGACGACGGCGACAACGACGACAACGACGACAACGACGAGGGAGGAGGGAGGACGGCGACGACGCGAACGACGACGAAGGAGGAAGGACGGCGACGCCGACGACGACAACGACGAGGGAGGAGGGAAGACGACGACGACGACAACGACGACGACGACGGCGACGAAATAGGAGGGACGACGACGAGACGCCGACGACGGACGACGACGACGACGAGGGAGGAGGAGGAAGGACGACCACGGCGACAACGACGACGGAAACGACCGACGACGACGACGACGAAAGACAGAGGACGACGAGACGACGACGACGACGAGGAGAGGAGGGAGGACGGCGACGACGACGACGACGCAAGAGCGCGCGCGCACGCTTTTGTTGAACATCCGTGTTGCGAACCCTTGGGTTTTTGTAGGTTTTTTGGACGCGCGATTTCGAAATCCTTCCGAAACCGATGGGTTTTGAAGGATTTCGGCGTACGCGCGCGACGACGCGCGCGTCTGCACTTCGTCCCATTTTTTGCACAGGATTCTCGCGACGGCACAAGTGCAAGGGCGTTCGACAGATTTCGACATGCGCGCGCGCGACGCCCGTTTGGTAGCATTTTGTCAAAATCTTGCAACACCCATGGTTTTCTTCAGATTTCGCAAGAGCTCGCGCGGAAGCTTTTTTAGCAAATCAGTGTTGCGAAACCATGTGTCTTTGTATGTTTGTTTTGGAAACTCGATTGCGGAATCCTTCCGGCACCGAAGGTTTTTGAAGGATTTCGGCATGCGCGCGCGACGACGCGCGCGTGTGCATTTCGTTTTTTTTTGCAAGGGATTCGTGAACAAGTGTTATGTTAGAACAACAAATGTCACCGCATAGTGTTTTTTTACACGGGAACCTCAGGGGGGGATATCGGTTTGGCTGGGATGATATGATTTCATTTTTAGGATGGACGAGTGTGCAGCATATATATATATATATATATATATATATATATATATATGAAATTTTACTATCCCAGGGGGAAGCGTTAAGTCCGGGGGGGGGGTAGAGTCTATTCTCTTTTTAGAGAAGGAGAACAGATTCTGCAGCTGCAATACGTTTGGGTCGTGCAATACATTCCGGGGCGCAGATGTATTGATGGATTTGTGCGTGCAATGCACTACTTGCAATACAATGCATTACAATATTCCTGCGCAGTACATGTGCAATACAATTGCCTCAAATATATTGCACCACCCCTTTCAGCTGGACCCCTTCATGGGGGACCCAAGTATATGCCTATAGCTCTATAGCCCCATAGCCCTATATCCCTATAACCCTAGAGCCCTTTGCTCCTATGGCCCTATAGCCCCATAACCCTATTTAGAACGAATGTGCGCGGCGCTGAGGCGAGAGCCACATTTTGAAAACCAGCAGCCCTCCATTGCCAATTCTTCAGCTTCAGAATCTCAAATGGTGAGGAAAGCTCCGGCGAAACGCCCAGCCCGCCCTAAAAAACTCGCCCGCCTCGGGGTGCGACCGGGAGAAGTTATTCTTCCCCAGTCAGAGCTTGCCTCTGCAGGGGTCCTAGCGGATTCACATGGTTAGGTGAGGTTTGCAACCGATTTCCCATAGCCTTACAGTCCTATAGCCTTATAGCCCTATAGCTCTATAGCCCTATAGCCCTATAGCCCACTAGCCCTATATCCCTATAGCCCAATTGCCCTATAGCCCTAGAGCCCTATAGCCCTATAGTCCTATCGCCCGATAGTAGTCCCATAGCCCTACAGCCCTATAGCCCAATCGCCCAATAGCCCTGTGGCCCTATAGCCGTATATCCCTATAGCCCTATAGCACTACGGCCTTGAAGCCTTATAGCCCTGTAGCCCTATGGCCCTATAGCCCTATAGCCCTATAGCCCTATAGCTCTATATGCCTATAGCCCTATAGCCCCATAGCCCCTTAAACCTAGATCCCTATAGCCCGGTCGCCCTGTGGTCCTATAGCTTTATAGCCCCATAGCCCTATAGACTCATAGCCCTATGGCCCTATAGCCTTATAGCCCCAGAGCCCCAGAGCCCCATAACCCCATAGCCCTATAGCCATACGGCCCTATAGCCCTATATCCCTACAGCCCTACAGACCTATAGCCCTATGGCCCCATCGCCCTATAATTCCATAGCCCTATACCTTCATAGCCCCATCGACCTACAGCCCAATAGCCCCATAGCCCTATAGCCCTAGACAGACTTTGATTTGGTTTTCTCTGGTATAATTTAATCCGACGGCTCACCCCCTGTCTGTTTACCAGATTCCAACACTGTCTCCCGTCCTTTTTTCTTTTTCTTCTTTCATTGAAGGTACCAGCCGCTCTCCATTACTCCACTTGCTTATTATAACTGCCAGTGCGCTTTGTTTCTATTTGTTGCGCCACGCCGGGGTGGACAAACCTTTCCCCTACCAGGCACCACCGGGCACCCGCATCCACATCACATTTGGGACGCCCTCACCCGCACGCGCCTCCCAGTTATAGTGCTGTGAGGCCTCTATGAGGTGGCAAATCTTGCCCGCTGGAGTGCCCAGTCACGTTTGCTTCAAATCAACAGACACGCAGAATTTTTACATACACCTGTTTCCTGACTGCGGGGGCCAGCCACCTCTAAGACTGTGTCATCCGCCAGTGTCCTCTTCCTCCTGCGCCTCCCCCTTCCTTGTGCGAGGCGGGATTCGCCGCGATCTTCTCCGGAACGAGCCTCATGCGGGTGTGCGTCGACCCGAAGAATAAGGCTCGAGCAGGAGATCGACAACATCTTTTGTTTACCCCAAATTTATTCCCAACCATCCTGTGTTGAGTTGGGTCTTCGTTTTGAATTAGCGGCGCCCCGCGTCTCCTCTCCTCTCCTCTCCTCTCCTCTCCTCTCCTCTCCTCTCCTCTCCTCTCCTCTCCTCTCCTCTCCTCTCCTCTCCTCTCCTCGCCTCTCCTCTCCTCTCCTCTCCTCTCCTCTCCTCTCCTCTCCTCTCCTCTCCTCTCCTCTCCTCTCTCTCCTCTCCTCTCCTCTCCTCTCCTCTTCTCTCCTCTCCTCTCCTCTCCTCTCCTCTCCTCTCCTCTCTCTCCTCTCCTCTCTCTCTCCTCTCCTCTCCTCTCTCTCTCCTCTCCTCTCCTCTCCTCTCCTCTCCTCTCCTCTTCTCTCCTCCTCCCCCTCCTCCTCTCCCCTCTTCCCCCTCCTTCCTCCTCTCTCCCACCACCCTATTTTGACACGCCCCTTGCACGCTTCGTAGCTCCATAGGGAGCTCCTCCAAAGGCCCCAGTGGTCGCGCCCGCATGCAGCCGCCACCCCACTTGGGCACACTTCTCACACGTTTCGTGGCACCATACCATAAGAAGCTTCACCTAAGCCCCAGCGGTTGCTCCCGCATGCCGCCGCTACAACACTTTGGCGCACCCCTCGCACGTTTCGTGGCCCCATAGGGAGCACCACACAAGCCCCCAGTGGTTGCGCCTGCATGTCGCCGCCACCCCACTTTGGCGCACACTTCGCGCGTTTCGTGACCCCATCGGGAGCTCCACCTAAGGTCCCATTGATTGCGCTCGCATACCGCCGCCACCCCACTTTGGCGCACCGGTCGCACGCGTCGTGGCCCCAGAGGAGCTCCACCTAAGGCCCCAGTGGATGCGCCCGCATGCCGCCGCTACCCCATTTTGGCGCACCCTCGTACGCTCCGTGGCCCCAGAGGGAACACCACCAACGGTGGTTACGCCCGCATGCCGCCGTCACCGCACATGGGCATACCCCTCACGCGTTTCGTGGCATCATAGGGAGCTCCATCTAAGGCATCCGTGGTTGCGCCTGCATGTCGCCGCCACCCCACTTTGGCGCACCCCTCGCGCGTTTCTGGGCACCATAGGGAGCACCGCACAAGGCCCCAGTGGTTGCGCCCGCATGCCGCCGCCACCCCACTTCGGCGCACGAGGGCGCTTCGTAGCTCCATAGGAGGCACCACCTACGGCCCCAGTGGTTGCGCCCGCATGCCGCCGCCACCCCACTTTGGCGCACCCTTTGTTCGTTTCGTGACCCCATCGGGAGCTCCACCTAAGGCCCCAGTGGCTGCGCCCGCATGCCACCGCCACCCCACAAGGGCACACCTCTCGCACGCATCGCATCCCCATAGGGAGCTCCATCTACGGCCCCAGTGGTTGCGCCCGTATGCAACCGCCACCCTCACACGTCTCATGGTCCCATAGGGAGCTCCACACAGTGCCTCAGTGGTTGCGCCCGCCTGTCGTCGCCTCCCCACTTTGATGCACTCTTCGCACGTTTCGTGGCCCCACATGGGGGCTCCACCTAAGACCCCAGTGGTTGCGCCCGCATGCCGCCGCCACCCCACCTTGGCGCACCCCTCACAGGTTCCGTGGCCTCACAGTCAGCTGCACCTAAGGCCCCAGTGGTTGCGCCCGGATGCCGTCGCCTCACCTTTTTGGCGGATCCCTCACGCGTTTCGTGGCACCACAGGGAGCTCCGCCTAAGGCCCCGGTGGCAGCAATCGCATGCGTGATCGCGCCCATGTCGGCACACCCCTAACACGTGGCACCATGGGGAGCTCCACCTGACGCCCCACTTGCAGGAATCGCATGCGTGACCGTTCCCATTTCGACACCTCTCGCGCGTTTCGTGGCCCCATAGGGAGCTCCGCCGACCATCCCACTGGCGGGCATCGTTTCGCGGCCCCTTAGGGAGCCACCGAATGCTCCATTGGCAGGAATCGTATGCGTGACCGCCTGATGTTGGCACACCCATCGCACGTTTTGTGGCCCTTTTGGAGCTCCACCACTGGCCCCAGCGCCTGCTGCTCCCTAGACCGCGCCATGCTGTTCCCCAGGGCCAGGCCGACAGACGCTCAGACCAGCCGTGACGGGTTGCATACAGATGTAACCCGTTGCGGCTGACCCCTTTGGCACCGCGAGCTACGTCGCTCCGTCCTTCTCACGCACGCCTTAATCCTATTGCTAGCCTCTTAATTTCCACCTGTCTTGCGGTACTCGCAGCTGCATATGGTTGGGTCCTTCGACATGCTGGTTTTCGTTCGCCCAATCTACGAACACAGACTTGACATGTTCGTGAACCTGCGAACATTATACGCTTATTCTTTTTTGGTGGATCCGACGAACCAGTTCTGGGGCACATCAATTCTGTAGTCTGTCTACAGTCAACATTGATAGCAAGGATGATCGACTTCCTAAGGGTACCCTTGCATCCTTGCTTCTTCGGTCATCTCCCGGCCCGTCCTCAACCACTTTCGATGGCTGGCCCCGCTCGAAAAGCTTCGGCATGGGCGTCCAATGTCCTTGCATCCTTATCGCGCATCTTTACCACCCAGACATCCGCCGATATATTTTCAATCCGCGGCCCCAGATATCACGACCCCTTCTCCGGGGGTGGTTTTTCGCCCCGGATCCATGTTTGATGGCCCCAGGCCCGATAACGGGCCTTGGAGGCCGAAACCCAGGACAAGCCGCATTGACAAAATCATATCTTCGGATCTCGGGGCAGCAGTTTCGACCGTACTCGACAGGCGTGGTCCAAGATCGTCGTCTGGCTGCCCATCGTGTTCAACCAGCTGGTGGTGCAGGCCGCCGGGGCGCCTCCCCCGCCCCCCGCCCCCGCCGATGACCACCCGGAGGGACCTCCTCCGTCGGCACGGCGGGGCCCACCTCGAACGATCCCGGCAGGGACGCACTGCGACGGAGGTCGGGGGCGGGGGGGGGTCAATGGTCCGAGGAAGGAAAGGTTCGGGCCGGGCGAAAGGGGGGGATTGGGAAAGGGGGGGTTACGGAATTTGCTGCATGCAGCTGGTTTCGGCCTCACCGAGGGGCCCATTCCTCGATACATGGCCGCCTCCGGCGCCGGGAGGCGCCGGGAAAATCAGCTACGTGAGCTGATTCTCAAACCCCCCCTTGGCTATCCCCCCCTTTCGCCCGACACGAAAGGTGCCGATGCCACTGCCCTTCCCCTCGTTTTCCCCTCTTTGGGGCCTCCTGGGAGGCCCTCGTCGCCACGGCTGGGCTCGCCTCGAGATGCTGGCCCGGGGGGAGGTCCAAGGGAGCAGCGGCGTCGGTACCGTTTGGTTTCCCCAGGGCGGGGGCGAGTGGGGGAGGGGGGAAGGGAAAAGAGGGCGGGAGGGGAGACGAGGACGAGGAGGAGGAGGAGGAGGAGGAGGAGGAGGAGGAGGAGGAGGAGGAGGAGGGGGAGGAGGAGGAGGAGGAGGAGGAGCAGGAGGAGGAGGAGGGGGAGGAGGAGGAGGAGGAGGAGGAGGAGGAGGGGAGGTGAGGGACGGGGGCAAGAGGAATGGCGAGGGGAGAGGAGCGAGTGCAGGAGAGCACGGGGAGGGGTAGGGTGGAGGGGGACAGTTGAGCCTGGGGAGAGCTTGGTGCTGAGAATCGGGGGCGCCAAAGAGGGGGGGTGCTGACTAGGGGGGGTGGACATCTTGGCGGGGGCCATGAGATCTCCCCAGACTTCATGGCGCCTCTTCTTATTTCATGACGTCCCTGGCCCCCCCCCCTGGGCCGCGCACATGCCGCCGGCCATGATTTGCCCCCCTCTTTGCCGCCCCCGAGAAGAGGGGGCAAAACTCGTTTCGACGCCTCCGTTTTGATGGCTTTCGGTTTCGATCTGTGGATTCCGATGTCTCAATAGAGGCCTACTGGCCTGCCGATTCTCGCCGATTCAACTTTGTCCGATTCGGCAGCCGATTTCGGCCGATGCGATTCATCTGGATCGCCGACCCGACTTATCGACCCGATTCTGGGGTCTCCTGGGGGGGGGAACAGGATGCCAGAGGGTGGCAGGCGAAGGCGAACGGGAGAGAGAGGGGGGGCTAGCATGGAAGGGGAGGGGGGGGGGGCGGGGCGGGAGGGAGGTGAGGGGAGGGGGAGGCGGAAGTAGAGGACATGGACATGGGTGAGACGTGAAGCGTCAGCTATGACTCAGGCTGGGTCGCGGCCTCTGGCAAGCCTGTCTCTTTGAGAGAGGACCTCTGGCCAAATGCCACGAGGGGAGGTGGCAGGAAGGAGGGTGCGGAGGGGAAGCGAGAGGAGGTGGCCAGAGGGGGGCGCGAGCCGAGGGGGGGGGAACGGCTAGGAGAATCGGCGGGGGGAGGGGCTGGAGTGGTGCGGGGGCTGGGGGGGATGAGGGGGACGATGGGGGAGGAAAACGGAGAAGAGTTGAGATTGGGACGGGAGGCGGTTCGAGGCAGAGGGAGAAGCGGAACCCTTTAGAGCCCCTAGAATTGCACGGCATGTTCTCCCCATGCTCCTCCCTCTTTCCCTCTCGACCCCTCCTTCCTCCCTCCGCGCTTCTCCTCCCGTTCCTCCTTCTCCCACTCCCCTGGGTTTCTGAATGACTTGGCATGCTTCCTTCGATCGCTGCCTGTGACTGTCCAGATTGCGGGTCGTCGTGGCTCCTCGATGTCACCTGTAGCTTGTTTGCGGGCGATCTTGCAAGCGATCCAGGAGAGGTATAGGAGTATTGCTTCTTTGGTCGGGCTTCCCTCATCCGGCTGCCTGGGGTAAGTCCGGCCATTTTGCCAGCCCAGCATTCTGG